CGGGGCGCAGCCCGCGGGGTCTGACGGGCGGGGAGCGCTGCGCAGCGCCGAGTCTGGCTTTGGGGTGCAGAAACCTGGAGAAGTAGAGCCCCTGGGCTGGCGGGGTGCGGATCTAGCCGAGGGCGACAGGGAGCCGGGGGTACTTCAAGCTGAGCCCGGCCGGTCATGCCAGATGCAGACGTAATTTAACGAGGGACCCCTCCGCCTCCCCTCCCCACATCTTGGGCAGGTTGGTTTCTGATACATGTAGGATCAGGCGAACGGAGAAATTTCTGTAGAGTTCTGAGGTGTTTTCTCTGGCTCAAGTTATCTAGAAATAATATTGAGTGGAAGAAGAACAGTAATTCATAACAAAACTTTAAAGAGCAACAAGTTGTTTTACTGAAATCACACGCGCTGGGAAAAAATATCACCTCACTGATCCTGATAGAAACTGGCTAATAGCAGTATCTTGAAAACCGATTTATACCACAATTACTAGTTTCTGAAGCCTTAGCACTGTTCAAAACAAATTTCACCATATGTCCGAAGAGAGTTTTTGAGAAGTCCCGAATCTGCACTTAAAATCTTAATTTTTACTTGTGCAGATATAGGATATGATACTTACAATTATTTTCGTATTTGTTTGAAGTGTTTCCCTTTTTACTGATTTTTTTTTTCCTACTTGAAACAGGTAGTCCATTTTGCACCGCCTTCCCACTCCCTCTCGGGCTCTGCCCCCCAAAACCACCTCCGTATGCCTTTCTGTACAGTCATGGTGCAAACTAGATTAACCTTGTTGGACACTATGGGCTGGATTCAGAGGAGCAGAGGAGGGAGCTAGTAGTCCTACATCTCCCAGCCATGGCCAGTGCAGTTCTCCTGTTTGGTCATGTATCATGGAGGAGAGTGACTTTGCAGGCTCTTCCCAGCTTCCCCTCTTGAGTAGCATCTCTGTCACAGTTGGGACTTTCTTGCCTCCTACTCGAGTTTCACCACCCGGTGCAAACGCAGAGAGGATGTGCTGGGAGGGGCAAGGTCAGGGGAGTATCAGTGAGATGTTGCTAAGGCTATTTCCCAAGCACTGTAGTGCCCCTGAAGGTGCTTATGCTAATTGTGGAAATTAGAGCCCTTAATTCTTGTTCTTGATTTAGTCTGAGGCTGGATGGTTGTGCACTTTTTTCACTTACTATTCTATGCTTCTCACCACACTGCAAGACTAAGCTGTCTTTGCAATGAGAAATAGAAGTTTCACCCCCAAGAACCAAATCTGTTTCTGTGCTCTGTGCGTTGTTGTGCACTGGGGTCTGGCCATCAATCCCTGTGTTGTGAAGACCAAATTCTTACATCTTCCCTAAATGTGAGAGTGGAAAAATTAGTTGGATTATTATTAGGAATAGGTTTAACTGAGCAGTGGTGATGGCTGCTCAGATGAAATACTATTCCAAAAGTTTGCATTTAATTGATGTAACTGAAGTTGTTGAAATGTAATTATTTTTAAAGAGGATTGATTATGGCAGGTTAGTGACTAGAAACCATACAAAGCATCCCAAAATAATTTCTTTTGTTCTAAGACATGACAAGGTTGATGTTTGGAGATATCTCTAAAATTATTAGGGTGATCCTGACTCTGTGCCCAAGTATGTGACATCAGACTGTTCTACCCTTAACTTCTCAGAAAGTCCAGTGATGGAGTGGGTGACAGGCAGGCAAAATGTCGACATCATTCTCAAAGTGTCAGTAGACCAGTATTGACAGAAAAGGTTGAACAGCTACCTCCTGTATAAAACTTTATGGCTCAGTGGAAGAATTCAGATTCCAGGTCTGTCAACCTGACACTTTTTCTACCATTCTCAAAGCTCAATATTTTTTTGGTATTTGATGAGATTATTAGGATTATTTTCCAGACTATGAGCAAAAATGTCAAGTGAGGTAGGGGCACTTTTTCAGTTCATTCTCATTCCATCTACATGTTGGATGCAAGCTGTTGCATCTATTGTTGGTTGCAAACAACCTCTTCTGCATAAATTGACAGCCTTTCTGAGTCA